TAATGGATTGAATAGCAATGTTTTATCCTCGTCATGAAAGCCAATTTATTGCTTTTTTATATGTACTATTAGATAGTGTTGACTTCTTAGTGCAGCACGGCGATGTTGCCTAGATGTAAAGGCAATTTACTAAATTTTAAGTGGTACGTTATTCGATAACTAAAGCTGATTTTGTTTCCTGATTGCCCTTGCGATAAGCAAGGGTATTGCAAACGGGTACTAGACTGTTTTTTCCCGTAAACTTTGTTCACAGGACTCTTGTCGTGGAGCCTGGACTTACTCATATGCTTCTTTTAATACAAATCCAAGTTCAATCAATCATCTGGCGTAGAGTTCTCGCATCAGCGTATCTACTTGAGACGGCAAGGGCTTGTGGTTCGATTTTGGCGTTGACCTGTTTTTTTTTAACCTGAGTTTTTGTGCTTTTTCTGACTATCGTCCGTCTGTTTATTTTTGTCAGCTTAGTTCCCGCAGCCCAAATTTTTTTTGAAAGTTCAGGTTTCTTCTAAGCTGCTGTAACACCCAAGGTTGACGACAAAGCCAGGAGTTCGATTGCAGTCGGGACATTGATTGTAGTCAGGAGTTCGATTGTAGTCGGCTCATTTCTGCCAGCTTAGCTCCCGCAGAAAGGACTTTTTTGAAAGGTCAGCTGTTTTCTAGCTTTCCGAAAGCTCCTTGTAAACTTTTGAATCATGCATGTGAATTTGTGTCGGTCATTTCGGGATTTTTCTGCGATTTCTTTGAATTTTATAACGAAAACGAGTTTTAAGGTAATTTTTTCAATTTTTTTCTCTTTTCCTTTGATTAAACCACAGTCTTTCACTGTTGCATCGCAATTAGTGCAAAGCTCAGCTTCGCTCCTGTGTCGGAAGTTGTTCCAGCTCAGCTGCGAGAATGATCGGACTGAAAGTTTTTATTTTGCAGATTACTTAACACCAATATTACAAATGGCACAATGAGATTTAAATGAACTCTTGATTTTATTATTATACGATTTATTTATTAGTTTTGCTACTATATCGTCTCAGTAAATTAATTCTACTGCCTTTAACTGCAAAAAAACAACAGGAAATAAACTAGAAAAAATTTAAATTGAAATAGGACTTTTTGACTTTTACTCCAATTCGAGTAGTCCGATTGACCTTGCTTTAATATAGAAACAGTGAAAATTTGGTATAATTCAAAAAAAAAAATCCGCCCATTTATAATACAATACTTTTTTTTAGTTGTGATAGAAGACGTTTATAATGGGGTACAAACATGTCTCCTGAGACTTAATCTTCTGGATAAGGTATTGATTCTGGCTCATGGTGTTGGCTCGTTTCATTTTTAAAGGTTTTTTTTGAGTTGTCTTCACTTATTTCTGTTTTTAGACCCAATACTTGAAATTTTTGCTTGTGTTTGCGAGAGTGCAGATTTGCCTCTGATTAAGTTTTTAATGAATCTATAATAGCAACAATATTATTGTTTTGTGATTTTCAAAGCTGTTTGCCTTCAGTTAAAAAATGACTATACAGAATTTTTTAAATTTCGTAATTAACTTTCAAATCATTGCATTCTCATCTTTCGTCTTCGTACGTTTTTTTAATGCAGAATTTTTCATTGGTTTCAAGTTTCATCAGTTTACAATATCAAAGTATATATGAAAGTGAGCTTTTTCAAAAAATTTTCTCACAAACTTTTTTAACGGAGAATATTTGCGGTAATGATCAGTGGTACCTAAATAGCAACCGGCTTGACTGGGTCAAAGTTGTGTATCTATTTTACTCAGAAAGCAACCAACAACACTAGGTTACAATTGCTACCTCGAATTGGTTGGCAGTTACTGAAAGTAATTTCTTTATGAATCATAAAAACGTTTAGATTATGAGTCTTAAAATTTAGATTTTTTTCTGTTTTTTTTTTAAAACAAGCGATCTTGAAATAGTCAGTTTAATCATTTGAGCACATGAGGCAAAAGTACTATGCGTAAGCAAATTTTAATTTGTAACTTTACTAACCCTGACTTTGTTATTTCTCATTTCGCTTTTTTTTTGCTTCAAAACAAGCGATCTTGAAACAGTCAGTTTAATCATTTGAGCACATGAGGCAAAAGTACTATGCGTAAGCAAATTTTAATTTGTAACTTTACTAACCCTGACTTTGTTATTTCTCATTTTGCTTTCTTTTGCTTCAAAGCATTAGTAGACATAAATGGTTCCGGTTTATGTTTTACGACTTAATGATCAAGTTTTTGCGGCATTTAATCTAGCTACAAAACCTTTTTTATCCGTGATATGAATCCTATTTTTAAAAATATATTTTTGACGCTTTTTGCTTGTGATTGCGAAATTCAGCTTCTTTTTTGTACTTATTTTCATTTCTCATTTCATTTCTCCATGGATCATCTGAAGCATTTTTTTATGATTTTTTTTTGCTCTGATAGTGGGTGTCAATTTCATTTTATTTTTTAATGGTTGTCTGTTATTTATCAATGTGTTTATATTGATTTTGAGTGAAAAGGTTCTTTCGCGACTCTCCAGAAGCTTGAATAATTTGTGGTTTCACATTTATGAAACTGCAATAGTTCGTCTTAGACTGGAAGCAGATAGTGATTTTTTGCTTTATGTTCATCCATGCATGTTTATTGTTTCGATAAGCAAGAGTGTTTTCATAATTTGCGTTTGTAAAAACTTCTCCGCTTGTTTCCGGACGTTTCGAACTTCAAATTTTGGTTACTGATTTTTTTTCTCGTTTTATGAAATTATTAAAAAAGGGCTTTGATATGAAAGTAAGTTAGACTAATAGTATTTTTGCCTGAGCTTGAGAAAAAACGCAATGTGTCGATTCGTTAATACTTTTCTCTCAGATGTTTTTTTCAGTACGATTTAGTTTGTCAGATAAATCTTTTTGAATCTCAAGAAAATTTTTAAAAATTACGCCTGCAATTAGCATGCGTTATTAGCTCGGATCTTAGGTTATGTTTTGAGTAATTAATACGAGGCCAAGCTGTGCACTGGATAGGCTCTCAATTCTCTGTCTGTAGGTCTCTGGAATCCAGAAATATGTCTTTAAACATGTTAAAATTTTGTCGGAACGATCGAAGAAAAAAAGGAACTTAGACAGCGCCCTTGTTGCGGCATCAACTTACAATTCAAAAATACACGGTTTGGCCTCGTAATGAAAATTTTTTTTGAATCATATGATAGCTTGAGGCCTCAATATATTGACTACGCCTGGGACCGCAAAGGTCCCTTGCTCGAATCCAGTCAGAATTTGTTGATTTTCATCCTAAAACATTCCTTTTCAAAAGTATTGATTAGTACGGAAGCTCTGGATTGTACTATTGAGCCAATTTTAGTTTTTTCTATGCCTATCCGAAGCACCTTACTTGACTTAAGGGTAATTTTATTTAACGTGTTGCTACGCTCGAGACGGCAAAGGTACTAGGTTCGAAAGGTACTAGGTTCGAGCAGGACTTGTTTTTTTTTCAAACTGAAAACATTCAGTTACAAAAAAATGTTGACCTGTTGTTTGTTTGTTTTGGTTTTTTTATCGACTGTATTTTATAGTTTCATAGTTTCAAGTACCCTGATTTAGGACATTATTTTTAGTTTTTTGCTTAAAGGCTTTATTCGATCTATTCAGCTGAATTTTGCCTTTATAATTTTAAAATTTTGCGTTGTGTGAAGGGAAACATGATTTCTACCTCTCTTTTTGGACACACTGGACCCAAACAAAATGATGAAAATCTTAGACTTTCAGAACTTGATAGTTCAACATTTTTCTTGGTAACTATTTTTTTTCCGGCTCAACGGGTGTTTACTCAAGTTTAATCGGCTTAGTTGCCGCTCGATAATTGTTTCATGATAATTGTTTCCCTTCGATGATTTTTTTGCTGAACGTGTTTTCCTCAGATTGAACATATTTCGGAAAACAATCTGAATTTTTTAATTGTGGTTTGCTTGAGACTTTTTTCATTCGCGTTCGACTTCAAGTAATTTTCGTTTCATTTTTTGTCTGTTAGCTTGTAAAGCTTTGTTTGTAGTGCTACGCTTCGCCTCTGTTTGTAGTGCTACGCTTCGCCTCTGTTTGTAGTGCTACGCTTCGCCTCTGTTTGTATTTTTGTAACTTAAGTTTGATGATACGAGCCGAGAAGTTTGCAAGCATTTGGACATGTATATGATTTTTTAAAGAAATTATACAATTACTCTTGCAGCCTTTTTCCGACCATTTGACAAATGAGAACTTTGTATTGGGCGTTTTAATTTTTTTTTCGTTTTCCACGCAAAATGAGGTACCACAAATGATCAGCGGACTCAATTGAGTGATATATCACCTTAAAGTTTTTTCAGTTCTGATTCGAACGACATAAAAAAATTTCCAAAAAAAATTCCCATTGTCGAGAAAATCCGGTTTGAAGTTTTTGTTTTTTCGTTTTAATTCGAGCGAGTAAAGCAAGCGAGCAGGCTTAAAACAGCTAAATTATGGCTAATTTAAGACCTCAAATTTTAGTTTTAAGCAATTGAAACTAGTTTTTGGAGTTTTTTAGCTTCATTTTGCAAAAGTATTCTAGTCATTTCTCTACAAAAATTTTTGTCCAATTTTCCAATAGTACTATGACTGTCTAATATGCATAAATTATGTTTATACGTCAGATTTTTTCATCACACCGAGCAGAAAAAAGTGCACTAATTTGGAAAAAAAAACTCTCTAAACCGTAGTTTTCTAAAGACCATGGTCGGAACATTCTGTGCTACTTGCACAGTAACCTGGCTATCCTTGTTTTCTTGAAATTTGCGGAAAGTTATTTGAAATAAAATATCACTTTTGCAGCTCAAAGTTTTTTGCTTGATGGCAAATTAATAGAAAAATTATTTTGTGATACTCGGTCATAACCATTTACACATGAATGTTTTAAAAGCTAATTGTCGGTGTTAAAAAAACTTCTTTTGTCAATTGTAGAAGTGTTACCTAGGAGTCTTGCTGGATTAAAATGGCTTGGCACTGCAAAAAACGGCTTGATCCTAAAAAAAGTTTAAATTTCAAATTGATGATTTAACATAACATGATTTATTATCAAATTGGCATCAACAGTTTAAACTCTGAACAAATATTGTTGCAAAGCGTTATTATTACTTGTGCTAAAACAAGGCAAGGAAAATGTTTATTGAATTTCACTTTTTCTTATCACAAATGGTATCACAGCTGCGCGTTGAAACCACTTCTAAGTTTGTAGCGAACCTCTGGTATAAGGGGGGTGGCATAGGACGAATATCACCACAAGTGCCTTGATTGGAAATGGTCGAACCTGCAACACTTCTGGGAGGCAAAATAGGAGCTGGTTGACTATTTGTATTGTTTGAGCTCGGAGGTTCCGATACTTTGAGTAGGAGGTTCTCGTCGCTTTGGTAACTCTCCAGGGTACTGTGAACAGGCGGCTCCTGGATCTGAAGGAGGTGTGATGGAGTTGGCTCGTGAGAAGGTATCGGAGGATTCGTGGTTTGTTGTGTGGCTCTATGCAGTCTGTGTAGAAGTAATACAATTGTGAGAAATTGGTCCCCGTTATTAATTTGAGTCTTACTGATTTCTTAATCAAAACTGTTGTTTGGTGTCAATTGAGCTTTATCTGACAAAGCTGGGTGTATACATTTTAAATTCAATTTTTGGGCGAAATTTTTTTGGGCAGTTTTCATGTTTTTTTTACTTGTCTTTGGTGTTTACATTTTGAGGGATCAGTTTACCACAATAGTACCTTTGTTGTCGCCTCTGTTCGGTACTTTTCACTCGGTGGAGTTCAAACATTTCGGACAGGAGGTCAGAGACGAAAATGGAGGAGGTGTTCCGACTGAGCATGCGGATGATGAAGACCCCGTCCTGTTTGAGGTAGCCGTGGAGGAAGCGTCGAAGGAGTTTCTTGTCTTCGGCCGTCTGCGAGAACGCAACAAATGTAACTAAATTATTTTTAAAATTACATAATGCGATTTTTTAAATTACATGATGGTACTAATCAACTATTTCTACCAAGATAGCCTAATAAGTTGGAATTCGCTATTTCGTTTACATTCGTTTAAAAAAAGATAGCTGCTTCTTGTATTGTCTACAGAGTGCAGCCGCTGCTTACCCAATTTGAAATTCAGGTCACAAAATTTGCTAAATTCGAGGATTTTTAATCATTTCCTGAGTCCCCCTCCATTTATGGTACCTGGTAAGGAATTTCCCCCGTATAAAAGACTAATTCATTGAATAGGATTATGCTACTTTTGTACCATGAAATGAACCCCCCTTGCCTTAGGGGGAGGGGGATAGTAAACAAGATCCAAAAGCTGTCCATAACTTTTGTTGAAACTAGAGCACTTTATGGTCATTATATCGTCAGCATGTTGACAGTTAGCTGGGGTTTTACCTGCAGTTTGTTGCTGAACTTGAGGTGTTTGCGGACATACTCGTCGCCCATGTAGCTGCAGTTGAGGAACCATCTGGCCAGACTCAAACTGGTCACCCCGAACACAAATGCCAGCCAGAACCACACCACCTAAATAAAATAATTAGTATGTAGCTGTTAGAGCCCCTCAACTATTCAAAGAAACTGCTCAGCATTTTGAAGCAATTTTGTTAAAATAAAATTTAATACTTTTCGATCCTATCTGCAATGAAGAGTATCTAGTTGCTTAGTTTCGTTAAATTGAGTTGAGATCATACTCGTAAGGAATACTCTCGTTAAAATCATTCCATTAAAAATGATACCCACGAGGTTAAAGTTATACTCACGAGGTTAGTTATACTCATGAAGTTAAAGTTATACTCGCGAGATCAAAGTTAGACTGACGAGGTTAAAGTTATACTCACGAGGAATGCTCACAATAAAATTTTACTCACGAGGAATACCATCTCGTTGAAGAGATTAATCGGAAGAACACAGTTCATGTTGTGCACTAGTATGCTCTCTTTTCCCCTCTCCTGCACCTTGCACCACGTGACTCTGGGGAAGAGACTGGTGACGTCAGACAGACGCTTGCCCTCCAATCCCATGCTGAACAACACGTCTATCCCGTACCATCTGTACTCCTCGCCTGTAAATTGCATTACAAGTTTTGAAACGATTTTGCTATCGGCTGGAAAATTCATTCAATTTTAACATTTTTTTGTTCAATCGAAATTTCTGCTTCTGAAATTTATGCCAAATTACAACATACTTTAATTGAATGAGAGATTTATTTTTTTTAGTACATACTGTTTACTGAACGGGCATTTTTCTTGACTAAAAAAACTGGAATGGGTTCTAACAAATAATTCTGCAATCAATTTCAATCAAAGCAATCAGTTTTCCGCTTTATATGTGCCCTTTTTATTATCAAAGTGATGGCTAGCAAAGGTAAATATTTTACCCCAACTAAAACTGTTGTTCATGGTGCTTTAAAATATATATATTTTTATAAAAAAAACAGAAGACTGAATTGATGTCCATAGTGTTAAAAATGTTTTTTTTTTCATAAAAAAAGACTGAATGCACCAACCTAGCCATAGTGAGAGTAGGTACATCTGACCGACTACATTTAGTAGATAGAGTGTCTTGACTGCAGGGTAGATGAAGGAGAGGAAGTTGCCAAAGTGTCTACTCACAGACAACACACAGCACCGACCAGTCAGCACTGCCCGCACTCTCTCCCAACAACCACCCTCCCCCTCCCCCACACACTTCTGCAGCTCTAGTAGAAATCAGGAAAAAGGAAACTCAGGGATCTCCTAAACTGTCCCTCTCATTCTCTTAGACATCTGGTGTAAAATTATCTAAGCACATATAAAGTGCTCATTCAACAGTCAAGCAAACTTTGTACGTAAAAACAATTATCATCCTGTAATGAAATGCAGAAATTCAATATTATATCCCGAGACTGCTCTGAAGGCCGTGAGAATCACTATTTGACGCCTCTTCATCCTGTTGAAATAAATAAGGAAACCGCACCTCTGCGGACCCTTAAAAGCTTCCGATTAACTTTCACGAAGCCCGATTAACTTTCATGAGATGGTTGGGGTCATATCGTTGCTTGAAAAACTATCAAACTCCTTGAGACTTTTTTATGTTAGGACATGTTTTTTGTCAAGCCTCTTCTTTCAAAATTCAATAATTATCATGAAACCAGAAATTGAAAAAGTGGTAACCCGATTCAAAGATAACGCGCGAGGCGATCCTAACAACGAGCAGGTCAACTAATATCTGTCTTCAAATATATCTATGTTTTTATGAATGCTACATACCTAAATATCTGTCGATGTGTCTGGCCAGACGAGTGATCAAAGTGTGCCATGCTAGTTCGTCTATCTGGATGTGGAAACTGGTCGCATGCAGTGCTATCTGTTCCAAGTCCAGACCAGCATACAGATAGACTGTTCTCCACAGGAGGTGAGGAAACAGGAAAGTTAGCGCCTAAAAACAGGGCAAACAATCCAGATTTGGCTGCGGGGTCAAAATTCTGGATCCGTCGACCTCCACAACGCAAAGGGTTCCCACAATCTTTCCGTAAGACGGAGGATTTAATTTTGAAAAATCGTTTTATTTCTAAGGATCACATGAACATATAAAAAATAATAAAAGTCATACACTAGAATTTGGCTGAGAAGAAAGATAACAGCCCTTATGACCGTTACTATCAAAAGTGTTGTTATTCAATCGGATATGAACTATATTCCTGAAACTGACGTCATAGTTTATTCATCTTTGGTTATAAGTAATTTTTACACTCTCTATTTATTTTATTCATGATGGCGATTCTGGTTTCTGATTCTTAGTTTGAGCAGAGAAATCATAATAAAGATTGAAATCAGTTACTTTTTTCTTCTCTCCTCTAACTTTGCGGTAATCCAGTATATCTCCAGAAATTTTTGAAAAAACAGGTCAAAAAAGCAGTTTTTGGTCACTTTTTGGAAAATTTTCACGAAAAAATTGCGTTCGCAGCCCCCCCCCCCTAAATCCGCCCCTGGGTATTAGACTAAAAAGTTGTACGAACCTATCCGGCCGAAAATAGATAGCGTAACGAACAGACAGACGGTGTACCCTTATCCGAAATTGCTCTATGAGAAGGCCACCCCTGACCTAAACTCAATTAACAAGTTTGTTTTCAGAGATATCGCGCGCGTTAAAAATCTGTTCAGGCCAAATATTTATTTTTACAGCTGCTTAAAGCTTCGCCCATGGATGATCAATTCTATAGAAATTTGTTTGTTTAAAATTGGTTCGTCAAAAGAAGTACTAATTAAATCCAACAAAATGAAAATGACATCTGATGAAAAAACTAATTAGGGGTGAAATTATGTTGCGACTCTGTTTATTGTTCCGACTTTCGATACGAAAGTAACGGAATATTTGTGCTCGGGGTGGGTTTTTTTTTCTTCAGACAAATTTCGACTTTTTAACTAGCCATTTTTGACGGAATTTTTTTTTATCATTCGAAAGCTTTTGTTGTCCTGAGCTTAAATTTGAAAAGATATTTCACCTGTGATCATTTTTCGTAAAGTTATGAGGGTTTAAAGACTGCCATTTGGGCCAATTTGGGACAATTAACGCGCGATATAATTCGCGGGTGCATATGCAAAACAGTCCCATACAAAACAGTCCATTACAAAATAGTCCGAAAAATGATGTAATGGAGGAAAAAAATAGTCCAATACAAAACAGTCCGGTTTAAGGTCGCCGGTGGGCGTGCTGCGCGTGCGTCGCCGCTTTGCGGCGATAACCGGCTCTAAATTTCGTATTAAGTCCTATCCTCTGTTGGCAAGCTCGCAACACGTTCGTTGGCGCGACTGCGGCGGTCACTATTTTGTTCATTGTTTGTTGAACAAAGGGCAATTCTCGGCCTGCCGGCTTGTTAAAACAATTATTACTTGAGACTGTTTTTCGGACTGTTTTTTTTTCGTTCATTTTCATACTTTTCCGGACTGTTTTGTATTGGACTGTTTTGTATGGGACTGTTTTGTACAGACACGAATTCGCGCTATTTTTATATCATTCTAAGGGTATTGTTGTCCTGAGCTCAAAATTGAAAAAATATTCCAACTGTGATCATTTTTCGTAACGTTACGGGGGTTTGAAGATTGCCATTTTGGCCAATTTGGGACAATTCACGCGCGATATAATTCGCGCTATTAACGCGTAAGCAGAGATTTAATCAGTCTTAGAAATTGTTGCAAATTGGTTGAAAGAAGCTTATTTGCCATAATTGATTTGTTACAAGGAGCGAAACCTATTGTTTTGTACTTTATATGGCGTGTGGGGATGATTTTCATAGAAAATTTTTCAAATTTCAAAAAAAAATTTCATTTTATTTTATTTCCTTTAATTTTTTCATGTCATTTATGTTATTACTGCTCCATAAACGTTAAAAGGCAGTCGGAACTTTCAGGGCTTCGCCCTAATACGAGCAGTCTTTTTTTATTATCCAGGGCTTCACCTCTTTCTTTCTGTAGATGAAAAATTCTTTCTGTAGAAGTTTCATTTGCTCGAAACTAGCTCGTTAAAAGAAACACTTATGGTTCCAACAAAAAGAAAATTCCATCTGAGAAATTGAGTTCGATCTAGCATATACTGACCATGAGGAATAAGATGAGTGGCACCCATTGGTAGTAGTGCAGCTCCACTGCCTCATACTTGTCCAGGTGGGGGGCGTGGTGGGTGTCGAGGGGGGCATTGAAGGTGTTCGACACCCAGCAGAATGCATCGCTGTACTTGATCCACTGCTGGTTGAAGTTGTTCGGCGACCAACACACAATAGACTCGCCTGAAAATAATTACATGAATCTCCTTACTAATTATAAATTAGCATACTGTAGCCAATAATTCAAAACCAATTTGGAAGGTCGTCCATAGTTAGTTAATCGTCAGTATGCCGCCTCTGAAAGTCCATAGAGTGGCTCATTTATGATTATTACACCATCAACATTTTAAAAACAAAGTGACATTGTTGTGATAACAATAAATTGTGATCAGAGTGAAATAACAGACTGCTTTTCTTCGCTCAGATTGGGCAATCCCTCATTAATTATGATGGTGGGCCCAAATTGAGCAACTATATCTGAAGAAATTATGAAAACTTAAAAGAAAACAAGCAAGTTCAGGGCCTTAAACTCATTATTGGCCAAATAAAAAATCAGCTTAAATCATTTAGCGAATACGAGCTTTGTTGCCATTTTTGGCAACTCTACCTGGTTGAAAGGCTTCCATCATTCGGTCCCTCAGTGATAAGAATAATTCCATCAAACTGAAGGAAATCAATTTAATTGATACTTTTTAAACCGCTTTGCATAAGTGAATAGCGTATTAAATAAGCTTTTTGAAAACTTAAAACAGGTTTTGCGAGCAAAACTCGAAAAACAGCAGCGGTTTTTTAAGAATTGTACAGGCCAAATTTTTTGGGCTATGGCTTGTAAAAAAAAATTTCGCAAGATTAAAGAAACTACGGAGTATTTCATAGCCTGAAAGAGTTTTGAAATGATTGCCCTTTTCAACTGTATCGACGCTTACACATAGTTATTTATAAACTGGGAGGTAAGATATGGAATTTTTGTTCCGACTTTCGATACGAAAGTAACGGAATATTTGTGCTCGGGGTGGGTTTTTTTTTTCTTCAGACAAATTTCGACTTTTTAACTAGCCATTTTTGACGGAAGTTTTTTATATCATTCAAAAGCTATTGTTGTCCTGAGCTTAAATTTGAAAAGATATTTCACCTGTCATCATTTTTCGTAAAGTTGCGGGGATTTACAGATTGCCATTTTGGACAATTCGGGACAATTGACGCGCGATAAAATTCGCGCTATTAACGCGTAAGCGGAGATTTATTCCGTCTTAGAAATCGTTCCAAATTGGTTGAAAGAAGCCTAATTGTCATAATTGGTTTGCTACAAGGAGCAAATTAGATTCTTTTGTACTGTATATGGCGTGTGGGGGATGGTTTTCATAAAAAATTTTAGAAAATTTTTTTTTCATTTTTTTTAAAATTTCTTTAAATTTTTTAATTTTATTACTGCTCCATAAACCTTAAAAGACAGTCGGAACATTCAGGGCTTTGCCCTGATACGACCAGTCTTGTATCAATTTATAAACAAACAATCATTTTAACAGATGCTGGAAATATTTCCCGCCTTTTTCTTGACCTTTTATCAAGCGCTTGTGAAGTGATGCTTTGACAGCTAAAATTTTATCCCCAGTGACTCTGCGGTAAAACATTTCAATGCATGTTAACAGTTCGGCAACTGTCCAATGGCTATCGGAGTGACTCGATGCACAGCCAAACTGTCTTAAATTTGGTGCCACTCTTGTGATAATTTGTTTGTTGTAAACAAGCTTCTTTTCCGTCTCGTAACTCTTGAGAAAAATCGTTTGGTTATACGGATGCATTCATGTTCAATTCGCAAAGAATAATTTTGCGTTGCTTTTGAAAACATTTGTTGCTGCAAGTGTGATAAAACGCTTGAAAAATTTAAAATGCTATGCGTTGTCTGGACAATATCCAGAAAACAGCGGAAATGGATTGTCAAGGAAAAATTTAGAAATTGTTGAAAATCCATATTTTTACATCAACTTTGAAAAAATCTGGTTCTTAGAATAATTCAGTTGGAAATGACAGCCTGGTTAAAAATCTTATAGGTTGAACTAATGTACATATCTAGGAATTATGCAAACTATACTTTTTCAACGCCATATCAGACAAAAAAACACCAAATCGAACAAACTTGATTTTGATTTGAACACGCTGCAGAAAAAAAGTAATTGAAAAAACTTGACTCTGTTTGATCAAAGTTTTTATTGATTTGAAGCAACTCCAAACACCTCAAACAAAAAATGAAAAGCCTGAAATGCCACGGAAAAAGTATCCAGAACATTCAACTGAAGCTAAGCAAGCAAGTATTGATGCTGCAGAAACAATAAACAATTTGTTCAAATAGAGTGAAATTTGTCAGACATGGCGTTGAAAAGGTATAGTGAGACACTGTTGCTACAAAATCCCGTTCAAATAAAGAAAATACGCAGTTGGCTATAAAACAAAATGCCACAGAATGAGAAGAATATAAGTCCATCGCTGCAAACTGAAACGTCAGATTTCGTTTACTTTTTTTTGGTAATTCGAATGTAACTTGAACCTACTTTTTTTTGCTCCGGTTATCAATGTTAGTTATTCTGATTATCCCAGTCCGCTGGTTTTTCTCGGAAGTTGATTCACCTGCTTTGATATTTCAAATGAGAAAATATCAATTTTTAAAAAAAGGTTGGTAAACAGAAATCAGACACTCCAGGGGCAGATTTAGGGGGGAGGGGCGAGGGGGCGGATGTCCCCTCAGGTATTCGACCCCCTGCCGACCCCTTCGGTACTTTTTAAGAAATCCATTTTTGGTGACGGACCCAAAAATTTTTCTAAGGGCGCCTTTGGCGCCAAAATATACTAACTTTGAGGGGGAGCGCGTGCCAAAAAGAAACGCGATTTTTTTGTCAGAACTTTCCAAAAAGTGCCCAAAAACGGCTCTTTGACCTGTTTTTTCAAAAATTTGGCAAAAACAGCGTCGTTTTAGTGTTTTAGGAGAGCTCCGAAAATCAATTTGGTCAACCTAAAAAAAAGGCCGTCAAAGTTTTCGAAATTTTTTTGAAAATCCCCAAACCCCCCCCCCCCCTAGAGAAAATCCTAGATCCGCCCCTGGACACCCCGTTTAAAAAGCAACTTCTTCAGAGAGCCAAATACTTTCAGCGAGCAAAAGTTACATTGGTTCATTGAATCTATAATTTTAGTTTCTTTGCAATATTCTGACCTACGAACTGTCTGGTGGTGACAAGTGCTCCTAGACTCATGAGAAGAAGACATGAGTATTTGAAGTTGAGTCTGTCCGCACAGTCGCTGTCCAAACCCCCTCCCCCTCCATCACCGCCCACACTCACACTGGCTATACGAGCTAACACTTCCGAAATCATCCCGAACATTCACTCCAGTTCTTTGCTGTTAAGGCGAATAGAAAGGCTCGGTCTGTCGGCAAAAGATTGTTCCTTCTTTTCAAAGTTATGATCAAATAAGACTAGCGTGAGAAGGTTTTCGATTCATAAAATTGATTTTGAACCGCTGGATAGGACATTTTTTTCAATTGTGATTGTCAAAGATGAAATTCTTCGTCGGCAGATTTTGAAAATCAGCAGATTTTGAACTAATGCGGCAGATTTTGAAAATCAACGTCGTTATATGTCAAAACTACTATTAAAAGGTTCCATGACATTCTACCCTATTCCAATCTACCCTATGCTAATCTACCCTATACTATTCTATCCTACATACCAATCTACCCTATACCAATCTACCCTATACCATTCTACCCTATAATTAAAGCAATTGAAACTTACCCCATCCTCTTGAAGAATCCGAAACAGTATATTTCCGAACAAATCAAAGAACCATTAATTATGATCAAAGAATAATTGACGCACGTGAACAAAATATCAAAGCAACGTAAAACTTGCGCGTTCAAAATGGAAATGAGTTCAAAGCATGAACGAACAGAAATTTTAATCCAATGTTGCTATAGAAATGCGTTGCGGCTATTTCTTAAACAAACAAAAGTCATATCAAATCAAGTCGACATAGCGTAGCGGATAATGCCTGTGTTTGAAAATCAAAAGCTTGAAAGATCAAATCACCAAGAAGTCAAATTTTGAATGAAATTCGAAAATTACTGAGGGTTTGACTAGTTGATCACAAAAGGAGGGGTAGACCCCCCAGTACCAGGCCAAGGCGGTACTAGGGGGCGGGGTGAGGGAGAAGGTAAAATTCTTTTGGTATTGGCCTCTATTACCTCCCAAAATTTCAGCCCTCTACGGCCACGGGAACCTCAAAAAGTGTATTTTTTTTAGAAATTAAATTGAATTTTTGAAAAATTCAGAAAGTTTGTTAAAATAAACTGAGTTAGGAATGACTTAATTGCGCGAGAGAATACAAATAGGTTAAAATAGAATCTTTGTTAAAATTGTTGCAAATGTTTTTCACTTTCTCGTTCAATTCCCTGTACTTCTTTCGACTGGGGTTGCTGTTTCCTCCCATTGCTTTCATTATATTAAATTTCTGATTTGCAGCATCCAGTTTTATTTGTTCCAGAAAGGTGTGAACGGATGGGTGGCTTCCTTTGAAAAGAGTAGCAACGCCAAGATGCCAGCCTTCTACAGCATTTGTTGTCCTTATTAACCCAGCAGCTGCTTCTTCGGAATGATTCCAAAGGTTAACTGGGAAGAGAGGTTCGCGAGAATTCCTTCCAATGGTTTCGCCTTTAATGTAGGTGCGCTGAAAGTATGAGGCTACCTCATCAAGTTTTTGAGTGATATTGTCGTCAAGATCAAATTTGTCCGACACGTTTTCGATTTCCTCAATGACCAAGTCAAAAGCAGCATTGACCATTTCAACTGGTACGAAACTTAGAGCTGGAATTAAGCGCAATGACAAATTGAGATCATGATTAGTTTCGTACAGTCGCTTCAGGCCCACTTCGTTTATTTTCCGGTTGAACGCTTGACATAAATGAAAATAGCAGCCTTTCAGCAACGCTCCGGTATGGTGACTAGCGAAAGCGTTCAGTGCTGCACGTTCAAAATCGAGGAGAATGCGGTGAGGCTCGGTGTTTTCAGTGATGGCTGATAATCCCTTCAGTAGCTTTTTGTAAGTGGGTCTATCATTTACCTTCTGTCGATTGAGGGCCCGGTTAATAGCCGACCGGCAAGGAAGAGCTAATTGAACTGCTTTTTCTTCGGAGACAGACTGCAGGCCGTTTGCTATAATTATGCTGTTGACTGGTACTTGTTGTATTTTTGTGTCCTGTTTCATTTTCTGCACGAGAAGCCTTGCATCCGAACGACCAGGAAATACTTCGTGCGTGTGCTCATTTCTACAGGAAATAAGATCGTTTTCTCTGGTTATTGCTGTCGTTTTGCATTTATGGGACCCCCATCTTGAACACTTCCAGTGAATGTTTCCATTCTTTGTTTCCTGTTTTTTCGTAAACTCGTGGCCACCGATTACAAGCGTTCGCCGATTCTGTTGGGATAAACCCCAAGAAATTTGACTCATTTTAGTAGATGTTATTCCAAAGAAAATTGATATAATGACGTAGTTTTGGTTTCATTCTTGTACGTGATTTTGAAAATTGGGGATTAAAACTTGTTAATTGAAATAAATTTCAGATTTTGAGACTCTAATTGCGATTTAGTCTTTAGAACAATTTCCTTAAGTGAAAGACTCAAATTGAGTCCAAAAATTTAGACTCAAATGAATTAACACGTGCTGTATCTTTCCGATTCTAATTAGGACTTTGAAAGATTACATTATGATACCTCATTATGGTATATAGGGCAGATTAGTATAGGGTAGATTAGTATAGGGTAGATTGGTATAGGGTAGATTGGTATGTAGGGTATAATGGCATAGGGTAGAATGGTATAGGGTAGTTTGGAATAGGGTAGATTGTCCTGCCACCTATTAAAAATGGCAAAACAAGAAAAAATATCTAGTACATAAAAGAAACTAAAGTTTGTTTTACATTGTCATTCTCAGTTGGAAATTACGAAACTGTGCTATCTGCTGAGCAAATATAATGCCTTATTTTAAATAATAAAAGAACAGTTTCTCTAAAAACTGAATTGAAAGTAAAAATCGAAAAATTGCAATAATTTTCAAAAACTAAAGGTTACGGCGCAGATTTTAGATGCATTCGATAGATCTTCGTTTCAAACTTGAATATAAACGTTTGATAATTGATAATAGTCAGTTTGAGGGTTTTATTTGGTATGATTGCGATACTTAAAAGTATTTGTTTTTTTGTTCAAGTGTCCAGTTTATGGCAGTTATTTCTTTGAACCCGATCAAATGAATTAGTGTTTAGGGTAAATGAAATTCGAACCTTTTGATCCTTCGTAAAATTTTTTAAGCGACCATGACTGGACGTGATAAATTCAAAATCAACTTCACTTAAAGTTTCACAAAAGTGAGAGAGAAGAGAAGAGAAGAAATTGAAGATTAACTAGAATACTCCAGAGTTATCTGGTAGTCGGCACCAAACTTCGTTCAATAACCAAAGATCCAGATGGTTGATAACACGACTAAATAGGATCTCAAACTTAGCTGTGAACTGGAATGATCTGAATACTCTAATTTTGTCACCGGTTTTAGTAATCTAAAAAAGAACTCGTTTCTTAAAGTTGTTAAGATATAAGGTTGTCGGAAGTATTGTTTATTCATAAGAAAAGGGCTTAAGATCCGGATACCTAAGCACTTATTTGATAGATGAAGAAACGAACAGTTTTATAATTATTATAGCCTTGGCTCAGACGACAACTAAAATCCGTTAGAAAAAATCAGTTAGGCGAAAAGCCGCCGAATGTTTCGTTGGATCATTGTAATGTAAATTAACTAGAAAAAAAATTTATTAAATTGTAACTTAAGTGGGTAAAATAGATGCAATACAGAACCAACAAACCCTGGTTTTGGTTTTTTATGACCTGAATCTTGTTCTAAGAAGTAATATTTAATTTACTAAACAACTGAAAACTAACTAACTTACACCCCTAGGGATATCAAAATACAATATGTATGAACCAAGTTGGTTGCAGTCATTTATTTTAAATTGCTCAAGATGTAAATTTTTTGAAGTAAATTGCTGAATAAAAAGTAACTACATTTTTTTAGTTAATAAACTCTCAGGGGAGGCGCGGTAACGATAAGAGGCACTTTTTAAGACTGAAAAATTTAAACTTTGCGAAAAAAGAGAAGTAATTATAGCTTAGCTTTTAGCGAGCGGCTCTTGTAGTTTTTCAGTAATATGCATAAGTTTGTATGTATTTTAGAATCTATACAAGGAAAAATTAATTTCTGTGCAGAACACCTGAGACGGATATGAGGCTGGGTAGCTGGGTATCCTTTTTTTCATCCCACATTTTCTTACCAAAGGGTAGATAAAAAAAATAGGCCAAAAATAGAGCGAATATTTAACCAACGGATTTTTTAGGACATTTGTAGGTGTTGCGTATGCATCAACCTCGCGATAATTAAAAAACGATGCAAAAAAAAACTATCTGTAGAAGTTTTTGCCGATGAGGTATGCACCGTTAAACAAGTGATAAGCAAGCAAATAAAAAGCTAATAAAAGGCAATCGGTTTGTCAAAGCAATGTTGGAACCACTGATCAAAGAAGATACTTCAAAAATTTGAACATGAACAATTTTTTACATCCAATTTGGTAACTATCAATAGAGTTGTCTATACAAGCATAGTTTCAGAGAAATTTAAATGAAAATGCTTGCGGCTGAATTGGGAAAATTTTTGTAATATTATACAAAATCGATTTCATTAGTGTGCAATTTAAGACTAACGTCGAAAATAAGGCTTATTGTTTTTCTTAATTCCCTGAAGGCTGGCTGTTTTTTCTTGAGGAGGAAATTTTACCTGTAGAAAAAATGAGAAGGGAAACACAGTGGTCGAATGAACGGAAGTGTATAAATCTCAGCATAGACATGTATGTAGAAAGAGCATACACGCATACAGATATTTGGTAATTGTTTGGGAAAAAGAAATGTAGAAAAGGAGCCTGAAGGAATTATCAGTGCGTTTAGCCTAACGGTCTTGAAGAATAAAAAATAATATAAACAAAAATAACATTTTCAAAAAAAAGATGAGTGAGCTTCAAAATTTTCTCGGATTGGTGATATCTTTTTTTTGTCTCTTGAAGGTCTACTTGATTTTTAATGAACTTTCAAGAACATCTGTTCGTAGTTTGCCTCTTTTCGGCTGACTGGTTCTCTCCAACCATTATGCCCATTGCACTGAATATGTCTTCATTTCGACTGAAGGACATATTTAGAACTTTGTTTCCACATACACATACACATACCAACATGTTAGATCACACGCAATATACCTGACTGGCTGGTTCCGAATATCAGGGACGTCTTGGACACATTAATAGACAAGTATGAAAGGTAGCAAAGAAAGCTGAAGAATCTTCTTTTAGTATCTGAGTTTTCCAGCTATACTTATCACAAATATACCAATTCCAATACCAATACCAGCTCAAATTTCAATTTATATATTTTTTGTTTTAATGTGTTTAAGTCTTTTTTAAAAAATAAACGAAAATTATATTTACTGAAAAAAAAGGAAAAACTAATGTTGATTTTATTTTTTGGAAGTTTGAAAAACGTGATTTTTTTAAAAATATATTGCTCAAATACTTTTTCGGGTCTTTTTACTTATTCCGCCCAAACTAGAAAATCTAAAAATGTAAAACAGAAATGAAAAAACTCTAATCTCATTAGTTCAAACTGATATTGTCCGCCAAATATAATTGAAACAACGCGTTCAGTTTAAACAGTGTCATTACTCTATTATGTTTTTGTACCTACTTTGCATAAAAAATTTCGTGGTAGTTGATCTGTATTAAAACCAGTCGACCCAATGCACCTTCAGTTTTTGTTTTTATCTGGTTGTGCTACTCTAGACGTGGGCTGTGAAAAATATATTTCCAATAATCAAAATTTTTGTTCGCGGTATTTGTTCACCTGGGATTTTGGGCAGATAAGGCGGAGATTAAAGACACGAAGGCGAAGACAAAAGATTGAGATTGAATTTTGAATTTTCTAATCTGATCGAAGCACTAAGATGGCTATTGTTCTTGTCTCTCAATTTAATTGACATTTTTGAAATTTTCAAGATTTCCTGCATACTTTGGAGAAAAACAGAAATATGAGGTTTTCAGAAAACTGCGTGGCAAAAAGCAACTTCTACCCGCACTCAGTAAAAAGAGAAACTAATAGATTATAATCGGTTTTTATTGTCAGTCTCCATAAATTTTAAATTGAATTGATTATAATTGATTAAAAATGGATTATAAAGTTACTATTTTTCGAAACAATAAAAATCATTATAATCGTTTATACTCGATTACAATCGATAATTAAAAAAAAACTTCTCAAATTTTCTTGAATTACAATCCATTATAATGAATTATGATCCATTATTATTCAACATATGTCATCGCTTCATTTAGTTTTACTTTTGTTTTGTTTTGTGTGCTTTTCAGTTGGTTACCGAACTAAAAGAAACTGTAATTCTGTACTTATAGCCAGGGGCGGTTTAAGGGGGGGGGGGGGGGGTCTGGGGTTTCTCCCTTAGAATTATCTTGAGATATCCATTTTTGGTGACGGAGCCAAAAAACTTTCTAAAGGCGCCTTTGGTGCCAATATAAACTAATTTTGAGAGGGGAGAGCGCGCCAAAAAAACGCGATTTTTAGATCAAAAATTTTCAAAAATTGTCTAAAACCGCCTTTTTTGGCCTGTTTTTTCTTAATTTTACCTGCGGCGCAGAAAATTTGATCAAAATGGGGTCTTTCTTATTGTGAGTTAGAAGAGCTCAGAAAATCAATTTGGTCAACCTAAAAAAAGGTAGACAAAATTTGCAAAAATTTTTTGTGGAAAATCCGCTCCCCTCCCCCGAGAAAGTCCTAGATTCGCCCCGGCTTATAACTTAAACTTACATTAAATTTAATTTTCACTGTATTTTCATGCAGAATAGCTAAATTTTAATCCATTATGATTAATTTTTTTGTGAGATAATATTTTGATAGAAGAAAGGATTATAATCTATTATAATAGATTATAAAAGATTTTCCGAAAAATTATAATCATTTATAATTGACTATAGTTCATTAAAATTTCCCCAAAAATGTGGTCATTATATTGAATTATAAATAGTTTAAACATCTAAAATTGGGACTTATAATTGTTTATAATTTTATAATACCTTTTTCTATCAAAATATAATTTCACAAAAAAATCAATCATAATAGATTAAAATTAGGCTATTCTGCATGAAAATACAGTAAATATTAAATTTAATGTAAGTTTAAGCTATAAGCCGGGGTGGAAAGTTATGGAAAAACAGGCCAAAAAAGGCGTTTTTAGACAATTTTTGGAAAATGTTGATCTAAAATCGCGTTTTTTGGCGCGCTCTCCCATTCGAATTTAGTATATATTGGCGCCAAAGGCGCCTTTAGAAAGTTCTTAGGCTCCGTCACCAAAAATGGATATCTCAAGATAATTCAAAAGAGGAACCCCAGAAAAAAATTTTCAAAAAAAATCGATTATAATCGATTATAAACGATTATAAGGATTTTTATTGTTCCGAAAAATAGTAAAATTATAATCCATTTTTAATCAATTATAGTCAATTCTTTTTGAAATTTATGGAGACTGACAAGAAAAATTTATTATACTCTATTATTTTCTCTTTTTACTGAATGCGGGTGATTGGTGATGGAAACATTTCTAAAGGAACAAGATAAACCCGTTTGTATTGACACAGCACGCAAAAGGTCGCCTTCTTGTTAAAAAATTATTTATTGATAAAAACCAGTCTTTTCGAATATGGGAAATTCAGATAGTTTAACGCGAAAAATGTTTTCAAGTAAAACTTTAGCAATAACGCGTTTATTCTGGAGATTTTTGGGATCATAGCTGGTTTGTGCTACTTTAGACTTAAGTAGTAAAAAATTCCAATTACCCAATCTTTTTTTTGCGACGGAAATTTGGTTGAGGCGGAAAAACTCAATCTTGCTTGAGAACTGCAGGAAAAATACAATTTCAGGAACTCTGCTGAAAGTTATTAGTAGTATGGTCAATTTTTCCCATATTTTTGAACTTTGGAGTCTTTTAATTGTGTAATTTAATCATGCTGTTCTGTTGTGATTCCTGAAATTGGTTTTCTCTTAAATCGCTGGTATACAAAAACAGCACATAGAAGTTTCTTACCTGATATTAACAATGGTATTCCAATAAAGTGCAGACTGCTTTTGATCCGACTATGACTGGAAGAAAGTATGGCATACGATGAGCTTGTTTTTGCTCGATTTTAATATCCAGGACAATTCATAAGGCCTTATATTAAATTCTATTGGCCGTGATACGGCTTACGATAAGGGTTTCTTTTGTATTAACCAAAAAAAAAAGTCGTATCAAGAAAAATTGGTCTGAGTTTCTCCCTTTTTCAGACTTAATTCACGGAGGTATAGATGAGACTGGGCTCGCAGACAGCAACTTTTTCAGGTTATTTTATTAATTACTAACACATTTTTTCTACGTTTATTTTTTCTACTTCAGACGCATTAAACTCAAATACTTTTTTCAAAGCACGCAACTTAGGAAAAAGAACGGCGCTTAAAATTTTTATATTTTCACTTTGTTTTTCAAATGATTTTTTTCCTTACCATTTGAAATTAAATTTAAAATTCTGTCATCGAGAAACGTTCTAGATTACTTGTACAGCAACTGAATATCTTTGTTTTCAGTTGCACAAGTTCTGCTTTCTGCTCTACCAAAAAGCTTACATTAAATTTACGGTGAAATCACTGCCAGTTTTATTTAACTCTTTTTATCTCCCTATACAACTTTGAAATCATAGTGAGCTCAGTCAGCTAGTTTTTCTCCGCCCTATTTGATTGTAGTTTCCTGAAATATCAGGTTTCCTAACGGGCATTGACGTTTTATTTTTTGCCGAAACTCATTTGAAATCAATCCTTTTCAAAGTTAGCTTTTTTTTGAAAACAAAGCAAAGATACGGCGGAAAAACATTCAACACACTGAAAGAGACTGAACAAAAAAAACATTTTTCATAGTACTGCACCTCTAGGCTACCAAATATACATTAAAATAATTTTATAAATAAAGTCAACTCAGTTTCAGAAAAAAGGATCAATGATTTTTTTGCTGAAGTTTACGAAAATCAAAAACCCTTGTCAAACCTGCATTCTTAAAACTAAGATTGCAATCAATTATAATCATTTTTAAACAGATTCTCTACTTGTAAAAAACTTAGTGTCTGTAAATCAATTAGAAACTAATCAGTCGGTTTTCAATAGTAGTTTTTTAGTGAGGTGCACTCGAGTTGCTAAGCTGAAAGTCGTCAATTTAGTGACGTCGAACAGATGTGAAAAAAGTTTTAGGCCCAAAAACAAAAATTTTGGTAATCCTACGCTAAAAAATACAATAACTAGTCAAAATGAGTCAAACGCGCCAAGGAAAAAATTTCTGTGACGTCTAAAACTCATCTGAAAAACTTTCAGACGAATTGTCACAAAGGCTGAAAATGCGCAGTTTTTGACACGTTTCAATGAACTCAACGACCAATTATTGTTCGGTCTTCAAAATAGTTTTAGTAAGCTTGTGTAGGCATTTATTTACGAGGTTGATTATGAATCAGTCGGTTTTCAACATTAGAAAAACTAGATAAAAACTGGAATTTCGCTTTTTCGGAAAAAGTTTTTTTTTCCAGTTTTTACTCAATTTCATTCCCACAAAAAACACAGACTCACAAAAACAATATTTAGCAAAACAACTTTCATCTCCTAAAAAAAATGGTCAATATTGGTCTTATTTTGCCAACTTTATGTTGCTTTAATCGATTTTAGTTATTTTCAACAAAACAAGACACGTATTAAAACCTTTTCTCGATAAAATTTTTTGGCAAAGCGGAGCTTCGCACCACTTCAAAACAATCATACAAAAAGCATGAAAAATGTTTGGAAAAAACTAGGTGCACCGAATTTTCGTACGTCTTGATGAAGGACACCTAGGGCTCAGCTAAAGCTGGAGGTAAGTATTTAATATTTTTTGAATTTGTTATACTGATGCGTAATTTCAAAAATTAAACTTTTCCCAAAAACCATAGTTGTTTCTCCACTAAAATGAGAAGAGTGGAAATTTTTGAGATTTTTGAAATTTGTCAAAAACTTAGCCTTTCTTATTGCAGGGAGTAGTCAGGGAATAATCGCTTCTGCAAGAAAAACTCGCGCAACCGCTTCTCTCATTTGAAACTTTCATCTCAGATTTGATAGGGTAATTTTTCAGAACATTCAAAAAGTTTCTATAAAATAGTCAAAGTTCAAAAAAGTAACTTTTTTCTACTAAACGCAGACCGTGGCCGGTAAATTAGGGAAGTTTATCGAACCATTTGTCTCCATTGAACAAAATTGGCAAGTAAGTTTTGAGTCGAGCACAAAAAAAACTTCCAAAAAAAAATCCAATTTTCAAAACTTTCACTCGTTTAAAGGCCATAAGTTTTTTTTTAGAAAAACTGGGCAAAGCAATTTATGAATTCTGCTTCCAACAACCTGTTGGGTCGATTAAACCTATGATATTAGTTTTGGCAGGATAGTTATCTAGAAAAGACCAAAAAACGGTCAACGAATCAGAGAGTTGACAATTCCGAGAATCATAAGTTTTGTTTTAAAAAAAAATGGGCGTACCCCTTTATGTACAAGAGATTCACCCATCCTATCATTCCGATTGAACCCAAAAACCTAGGTTTGCCCGAGTAGCTATCGAGAAAAGTCAAAAAGTTTCAAAAACGGTCAAAAAATCAAAGTTTGGATTTTTTGAAGGCCATAATTTGTTTTGAACAAAAAATTTGGGCGAAGTCGAATATGCAAAAGAACTTCCTACAACCTTTTTTTTGAATTCAACCCAAAATCTCAGATATAGGAGGGGCTTTTTTGCAAAACGATCAAAAAATTTAAAAAAAGTTGTCGTTTCCGAGGACGATATCTTTTTGTGTAAGAAATTGTGAGTGGCAGCGCTAATGCAGGGGAACTTCCCACAACCCTTTATCTCCCTTGAACCAACAGACTCAGGTTTGGGAGTTATGTTTTTGAGAGCAACTTGAAAGGTTCAAAAACGGTCAAAAAATCAAAACTTGGCTATTCCAAAGGCCGCAACTTTATGTGCAAAAAGTTTGGGCATAACTATTTATTGAGGGGAGCTTTTGGAGGGATTCAGATCGTTTTTAGTAGTTACCCAATTCCACCTATAACTTACGGTTAGATAGATTTATTTAAATCAATATAAATTGTTTTCAGTTCCTGAATTTTTCATTGTTAATCGATTTGAATTAGAACTAAATTGATCAAAAAGCGCTTTTGTCAGAATGGATACGTCCATGGACACTTAATTAAGACTTTCATGTTGTTATATGTCAATCGTCTGCTGGGTCTTCTAGTCTTGCCCTGCGCTCAATACGGTCTGAGGAAATCAATTTTTTTTTTTCAATTTAGGATGGCTTCTATCCTTGAAATTTTGAGTATACTATGATAGAAAGTTTTTTTTTAAGTTTCAAAAGAAAAAAATAATAGAATTCTAATGCCGGCCTTGAAGCATAAGTGAGACAAAGGCAGCTGGTTTTTTCATGAGACAAATTTGCTTGTGACGATTAAAACGGTTAAAGTCTACAAGGATGGTCAGCACCCAGGCAAATTTGTCTAGTAAAACTGAAAGTGAAAAATATTCAGAATCAATTGTATTAAATCAATTTAGTAATCTAAGACATCTATCATCTAGTAGTCATCAAGAACAGTCACGCTAGCCAGTTGATCAGTAAATATTTTTTCCTTCTATAACTCGGTTAGTTTTTTCCAATCAAAGTTTAATCATTTCAATTAAAGAGTTTCTCGTTGTTGACTAAAAGCGCCTTGCTTAATCTTTTCTCACCAGCCGAGGTTTTCCTGGTTCACTATCCACATTGGATAATGTTGCTCGAGTTCGTCTGCCCTATAAGTAAAAATCGGAATGAAATCTAATTGAAGGTGCGAATTCAATGAGATAAATAAATTTAAAAATTAAGAACTTGGTTGTTTTTTTTTGCCTCCAAGCTTACTCGAATACATTCAAGTATGTTGTCAAGTACATCAAGTAAATTTTTGAATATAGCTGGCCATTTTTTCCATTTCTCGGAAATCTCTTAGAAGTTTTAAGGAAAATTTTATGTTTCAGATGACCAGATATCTCATATTTTGTGACTTTTTCATTGAAAGCATTTTTAGCAAATTTTTTTTTAATTACGAGGCCAAACTGTGCATTCTGTGCATTGTATGCGGTTTCCACATCAATGCTACTTTTCTTTGATCTTCTCTGCTGTTATGGATTCCACAAACATATACTTAAGAGGTTGTTCCGCTCAAAATTGCTCCAAAAATAGAAAAAAATGCGGAATCCCCAAACGTATTTGCGGAATGCGAAACAGTTTGTGGAGTCCACATACAAACAATAAGACATGTGTATAGTTAAATTGAGCTGTTGGGGAATCCGCAACTGTAAGCGTAATCGATAAAGTGCAATTGGAATCCGCATTTTGTTTGCGGATTCCGTTTAGATATATGTATATATGTAGTAGCCTTTGAAATTATATCTTTTGAATACACGATTTGTTTTCACTAGAATAGAAGTTTACTAGAATAGATCAGTGTTTGGGTTTAATTGAATCCCAATTATTGACTAGTATTTGGGATCGATGAAATCCCAAATACCGAACTAATGCGACGATTAGCTATGCGTTGGGTTTCTAATCACTCTCAACCTAATGACTCAAAATAATAAATTTATTCCATGTTTATTCCACATTATTCCAGTTTTTGGGTTTCCATCAATCCCAACTACTGACCAGTATTTGGGATCGCTGAAATCACAAACACTGCCCTAATTTGGCAATATGCTGTGTTGTGTTTCAATACACTCTCAACCCAATGACTACAATTACTGAATTTATTCGGCGTTATGCTTCCAAAATCCAGCCACCGATTTAGGTAACCAATGTTTTAAGAGTTTTTCATGGATTCCGCTGACAATGGTTATGTCTTTGCTTTTAAATTCCGCTTTGCCAGACATAAGAATTCCAGCTCAGCTTTTAATTGTTAATATGCAAGTTCAGTATTGAACAAATTTCGGAATCCACGTAAAGTTTGCGGAATCTACTTACATTTGCGGATTCCGCCTACATTTTGCGGAATCCACTTACAGTTGCGGAATCCAAAACAACTAGCTACATTCGCTTGTTGCGGAATCCGCGACACAATAAATGTGCCGACAAAATGTACGTTACACTCATATGTACGCGGAATCCACGGAAGTTTTGTAAGTGTAATGCATTTGCATCTTGGAACATGTTTAAAGATTAGTTTTTGGAATCCAGGAATATACTGACACAAAATTGTGCGCCTATCCAGTGCACAGTTTGGCCTTGTAATGAAATTAAAATGTGGACCGTTCATAAGCGGGTCAAATCATGTATCAACTTTGTCAATCATGATCGAATCTGTATAATTTGGGACAAAAAACGGTCATTTGATTGACTACCCGCTCTTGTCTTCCTAAGAAAACTAGTCAATTCAATTCGAGTTTTATAATCAGTGTCTATACAAGTGAAAGATAATCAGTTATAATCAATTTAAAATGGATTATATTACGATTATTTAAAAAAATTTTAAAATCCATTTCAAATCAATTAAAATCGTTTTTTTAATGTTTATAGATGAATACAAAAAACTCCATTATAAAAAATAGGGGTAGGTATATGATTTTTACGAGGGAGGGGCGAATTTCAAACAAATTTTCCAAAATTCTGTCGACCGGTTTTTTTGGGTCGACTAAATTGATATTCTGAGCTCTCCTAAATCACTATGAAGACCGCATTTTGACCAAATTTCTTTAGAACCTTTTTTTCGAAAATTTTCAACTTTTTTTCAAAGCGAAACCTAATCCATAGAGCTGAGAAGGTAGTTGGAAAAATCAATTTTCGTCCAGATACGAGCAGTCTTGTTTAATTTGGAATGACTTCCAAGACGTATTAAAAAGCGAACTGCGCTCGCTGGCTCACGCAATTTAACCAAAACGTTGTTTTTTCAATCAGCTGTACAAAAATTGATCAAAGGTCAAATATATATTTTTTGATTTTTGAGACTAGGAACTGGTGTAAAATAACACACTGGTGTAAAATAACAGTTAGTTTTTGTTTCCTGTAGATTGAACCGCCCGCGCATAAGGGTTCAATCAGTTCTTCGACAATTGAACAACAACATGGGTGATCTTTTGAAAGCCATCAAATAAGTTAAATTGTTTTTAATCCATTCAAAAAATTGGTTCAAAAGTTTTAGTATCAGAATTTTTCGACTCAATTTAGCAAAATTCAAAAAACACTTACCGGAATGCAAAATTCACGTTGAAATTTTCTGAGCATAGTTCTCTTCCGTTGTACTTTTCTTCCTCGCAAAGTTGTTCCCTGAAAAATTCATGCTCAATGGCCAGCTCTGGTCGCAGTACATTTTGTATGTGCATATAAATTACACACAAAATCTTATAGCTGTTTTTTTTTTCATTCTTGGTCTATTTTGATTCAAGAGGAAACTTTTAAAACACTGTTAACACTAAGTAATCTTGTTTGCATGTTTGGGTTATCTGACCGACTTTCTAGGAACCCATTGCAGAAAAAAAAGATCTTTTCAACTATTCCCCTTCCCTACGCTTCTCCTATGGCACTTATTAAAGAACTGCCCCCCCCCCCCCTTTATAAAAAAAAACTAATTCAAAGGTAAATTGATGTGAGTTTTGCACCTTGTAACGTTTGCCCTTTTGCAACAAGAAAGGGGGGAATCTTAAAGCTTTAAACGTACTCATTGTAAGTTGCAATCTTCTGATTTCGATCTTTGATTTCCACGTATCTGTTCACTCCAATCAATGTAGGCCAGAATGAAAATCAGTACCAGAATCCCAACTGGACCCAAAATAACCGAGATCAGTATGACCCAGTCCGCTCTATAAACAAAAAAAAAGAATTGGGATACTTTTACTTGATCTGAGAGCACGCTTAACTAGAGAACGTTGACATTCAATTCTTAAATTGTTCCAAAGTCTTACTTATGTCGCGCCAACTAGGTGTTTTTTTATTTCATGATGCCAAAGTTTTTCTTAAGTCGCGCGCGTCACAAAAACTTATCGTGTGTCGAGCCGCCGAAGTCTTATATTCAGTAATGCAGCCAAAAATTTATCGTAGGTAGCGCCGCCAAAATCTTATACAAAATTGCACGGCCAAATTTTTTTTAATGTCAAACCGCCGAGTTTGTTTCTCAGGTCTTCCCGAAAAGCCTTCAAATCAGCCGCACCGTAAAAGTTTTGTTTTAACATGCATCGCCTAAGTCATATATTCAGTCACGCCTCCAATGTCTTATCTTAATTAGCGCCGGAAAATTCTGCTCTTGAGTTGCGGCGCGGCACATTTTTTTCATAGTTCAACCTGAGGTCTTCATAGATCAAACTGCCAAGGTTACTTTTCATCAGTCGCGCCGCGGCGTAAAGTTTCATCGTTTGTCGCTCAGTCGAAGTCTTATATAAATTCACGCCGCCAAATTTTTATCTCGAGTGACTCCGCCGGAGTCGTTTCATAGGTCTTGTCGAAAAAGCCTAATAACCAATCAGGCCGTTCAAGTTTTATTTTAGGTCGCAAAGCTCAAGTCGTATTTTATGTCGTGACTTCATGGTTTTTTTTTCAGTCGAGCAGCGTTTCAAAATCTTTCTCATTTTGTTCCAAAGTCTTCTCTCAGGTCCTGTCGTCTACGTAATTTCTTAATTTATGATGGCAAAGTCATCTTTCTGGTATCGCGCCGCCAAAATCCTATATTCAATCAGGCCGCTACAACCTATCTCAAGTCGAGCCTCCAAGATCTCATCGTAACTAGCGCTGTCAACTTTTATTTTAAGTCGGGCGACCAAAGTCCTATTTTTATGTCAACCCGCCAAGTCATTTCCTAGGTCTTATCGAATAGTCCGTGTAATCAGTCTTCTGGCCAAAAATTTATTTCAAATCGCTCCGCCTAGGTCATGTATTCAGTCACGCCGCCAAACCTATTTTCCATAAGTATTCAGTGGTCACGCTTTCCATACGATTATTCATAAGTCGCGATGCGGCTCAATGTTTCTCCATAAATCACCCTAAGGGATTTCTAATTAATCTGCGAAACTCACTTCTCTTCAGTCATGCCGCGGCGTAAACTTTGATCTTATGCCGCTCCGCCAAAGTCTCAACTAAAATCGTGCGGCACAAGTTCCTATCAAGTAGGCTGCCGAAATCTTTTCTTAGATCTTACCAAAAATCCCTTATTCAGTCGCATTGTCAAAGTTTTACGTTATGTTCTTCCGCCAAAGTCTTATCTATAATTGTTTTACCGATGGAGTATCTCCACTTGCAATCCCACAATTGTTTTTTAAAACTTGCTCAAAAAGTCCTAAATACATTCGCGCCGCCAAAGGTTTGTCTCAAGTAACCCTCCAAAAATAGTAAAACAGCCTTATACTCACTAGCCCCTCCAACGTCTTATCCTTAGTCGCACAGAAAAAAATCTGTTCTGAAGACTCGCCGCGAGTTGAACATTTTTCATAAGTGGCTCTACAAAATTCATAAATCAATCTCGCATTGTCAGTTTCTTTTGTCATCACGCTTAAAATTTGTACTAAAAAACAATGCCGAATTTAAAAACGGATTCAACCTTGAAAAAAAGTAAGTTCTGATTTACACCCATCCTAATATGTCACCTAAAAATTTGACTTTAGTGCTCACAAACTTGATGACCTTAGTTAGGATGTGAGGTGGAACGTTGTCGGCTGCTAACACTCGAAGAAACTTGTATTTCAGATCGGTACAGTTTCAAATCAGATTGTGCAGCTAATTTTATTCCAATTGTTGACCACAGAAACTGCGAGAGCATTCCTGGTAACTTACAGCCGGATGAAACGAAACAAACGGTTGGGCTTAAGCAAACATTTTCAGCTTTGGTGTAAAGGCATTTGAGAACAAAAAATAGAGTGAAACTGAGCTGTTAATAGTTTCTGGATGCGGGAAGCCATGAGCAGCATGATGTTTGCTAGTGCGATTGAAGCACAATAGTAAAAATGCTTGTTGTAGTTATCTGGAGTGATTCTAAGCACGCAAGGCAACAAACACAAAACTAAGTTTGCTTTGAAGGAAGGACTTGTATGATCCTGTGTACCTTTTGATGTACTGTTGTTTTTTGCAAACATTTCCTTTCTCAAAGTAATCTGTTCCAAATCAAACTTTTTATAATGGAAAAGATTCGATCGGTTTATTCCAAGAGTTGCATTTTTGGTGTAATATGATGTTATGTTTTGTATCGCGGTTCGCGAGCAAAATATCTTTCTGTTTTCTGCTGCGCTGACCAGTTTTTGAATGAGTTTGCGGGCTTGTTCGCAAAATGCTATCCATGCTATTTCAAAACACTGCTCCAGTGAACATTTTGTTGGCAAAGTTATTTTTGTTATTTCGAAATTTGAGACAATTGGCAGACAGGGTACAGTCAGAGAACAGAGAATACAATGAAATAATCACCAGGAAAAGTGAATGAGACACAATAGGATCAGTCCTTTCGTATCCCAGATCAACTCCAAGTTCCCGTGTTTCTTTGCATTGTATTTCCGTGTAGGTTTTTCGGTGATCAATAAAAATGTTACGGTCACAGGTGATTTAATTTCAAGCATTGGTCCATTAGCTGAACAGACTGGTCCAATTTATTGTTCGATGGCCTTTTCAATTTTTATCGTTAAAAACATTTTTTCAACAAACCCAGAGATATATGGGAAGCTTCACTGCGTAAAAATCTGCGGTTTTTTTATGTTTTTTTTTGCTGGTCTGCCTATTTGGTTGTTTTTTTTAGGCTTCGACTAAGTTTCTTCTTCTCCGTGAGATCATCGGTGAATTTGTTCGACTTGGAACTCCACGAAATTGTTTTTTTTTGCAGTTTTTCTTACCGTGTTTTCCAATATTTTTTTTGGAGACTTCTGTTTTACAGCAACTTTAATTAGTTCGAGCGCTGTACACATTAAAAGCTTTCCGTCCTTTTTTGCAGCTGCTAGACTAACGAGCCTTGTAAACAAGTTACCAACTCATTCAATCCCAACAAACAGAGCGCCAAATCTCCTACCGCTTTGTCGTTATTGTCAAGAGAAATGAGGAAGTAGAAACTGATTTTCTTAAAACTGTTCCATTTGTTGTCAACAAAAAGGCTTCAATTAAAGAGTCAACACAAATTCACCAAATACTGAAGTAGGCGCTAATATATGCTTTGTGTGCGCATTTGTATTGAGAATAACTGTACGAACGGAGTAAATAGTTTTTGTGATTTAGATTAGTGAAATAATTTCGGCTATCAATTTCAATGCTGTCAGCAGTACCATTTTTTATGCCTCTACTTGATGCACTGACACTTAACAATGACGTTTTTTTAATCTCCAATGGTTTGATATTGGTTGTTTTCAGTGTGGATAAGTTTTGCACTTGTCCTTCTGGATAAATCATATGGAAAATGAGATCCGTTCGGTTCGTTTCCCACATAAGATGCAACGAAAGTTCGTAACCGAGGTTAAGTTTACTGTTCTTGTCAATTTGGCATTGTATACTAACAGACGGAGTGTTTGAGGATTTGGTTGAGTGATTCCTTTCTTTGCCTTTAACCAAATGTTCATGCTATATATGACATTTTGCGGACTTGCATTGCAATGAGTTTTGTCTTTGAAAATTATTTTTATCTCATTGTTCAAGTGAGTATTTTTTTTGAGTATGTGAGTATTCTCTCCACCAAAAAAGGAATGGAATTTACACATTGGAATTACTGTTTTTTCTCTCCACTGCTCTGAAAGTCAAAAATTTTGATCAACGACATTGTTTAATTTCGTTAGGATAACCATTTCTGAGAGAGCAACTCTCATATCTCTGTCTGAAGTTATTTTTTCTTTAAACAGTCTTCCAAAGCCGGCATCAACCACGTGTAAGTTATGACCACTTCTCTAAATCTAGCGCCACAGAAAAGGCGAAAGCTAACAACCTTGGACTAAGCACCGGAACACATGGACTATAATTAAACTTAAAACTCAGATTGGGTTTATTGATTGCATTTAATTTGAATTCAACTGATTTTTTTTCTAAATGAAACTATGGAAATCAGAATTCTTTGCCAGATAGAATTATTGCTTTTAAATTGCGCCAAAATAAAAACTTTTTTTACAATTTATAATTTTTACAACTATCTTTCAACAAAAATAAAAACAATTGTTTACAATTAACAATTTTGTTTCATAAGAGTTTCTTATAATACCATTTTTCGAACTTCAGAATAATGTGCTCTTTGGTGAAAAAGCAATGAAACCAGGTCGTTAAGATTTGCTGTTACTATGTGACAAAACAAGTATTTTAAAAATGCAGTCTGAACTTTTCTTTAAAATTTAGTGTTTTTGTCAAGGCTTGTAGAAAAACATTTTGCAATAAACCAAAAAATCTGAAAACATTTTAATTTGATAAAATTTTCTTTTTTGTTTGATTCCTTCATTGATTATAAGTTTTGCAAAATCTGAAATTTAAGTTATTAGATCAAATATCAGAAATATTTGTCTGCGGGAGTAAAAAATGAGAAAGACTAAAATTAGATCAATGCATATGTGTAGCTAGAACTGGTGTTTTTCTCTGGCAAATATCCCGCTGCTTCATGCAATAATGCATGTAATCTAAAAAGTTTAAAACGTTTTAAGTATTTTTGAGTAATGAATTGTCCATTCCAGTTGAAACACTAAACCGTCTTTTTTCAAACAAAATCCATGTCAAAATCATTACACGGGTATTTTCCAAATCAAAAAAATAAGTCGTGTCTACCAAACTCAATTCAATTATAAACCAAACAAAAAACTTGGCTAAAATTCATCTTTTTCTTCAACAAAACGCTGCACAAACAAAAAGTTTTCTATATCCACTCATCATCTGTCCAGATTTTACAAAAAAGCAGCAGAATGGTGTCCATTAATTGATATCAGTTTTTCTCGCCATTTTTCTCTTCTGTTTGAAAATGCTTGCTTTGCGCATTTGTTTTTTTGAAACTGCATAAAAGATACTTGCAGAATTGTTTGATGTCAGTGATGCAGCATTGTTGAATGTTTTATCACTTTGTTTCTGTCACTCAACACAGCAGTTTCTTTGTTTATTATTGTTAACTGATGGTTGTTTTTTAGATGATTTTGCACAAAGCAAAAGCTTAAGTGCACGTCTTTTGACTGCATTGAATTCTAGCTAAACGATATTTTTTGGTATATTCAGTGAGATATCTTCTGAATTATTCAAAAAACTCAAACTCGGGCATAATTTCTGCCACTTTGTGAAGAAGTATTAATTTGAGTCTTGCTTGGTTTGTTTGTTTTTGAAGGGAGATGCGATGTTCTGGCACACTTACACTCAGACTGGGGGTTGCATTTGTTTTGACTCATATTAGTTATCCCACTTGGTTGCGCTAGGATTGATGTTCCTGGTTTTGCTAATTTTGGAATCTCTTCACCGCTAAGGAAACTCTAGCACCCACTCAAAGTCATGGTATTCAACTTTTTTTAAAAGACTTTTCAGGATTTTTTATTCGTACTGGTTTAGTCATGTAGTTTCAATGTAGCACTCGTTTGGTTAACGAAAATCAACGCGGTATGAACTTTCGTAATATGCATATATGTACTTTAAATTGCAGTTGTATTTGAATCCAATTTGCGTCAAAACATCTAGAACTTATAGCATGATAATTGATAAGAAAATTCCTGGGCGTCAAAGGAAACATTAACTGAAGCTGAAATTTCGAACAAATTTTTCTGGTTGACCGCAAGTTGGATGTGTTGGGAAAAAGTTTCAAAGCAACATAATGTACACGCCCTGGCTAAAAAAACTGATAAGGAAGAAAAAAATTCGACTGATTTCTAATCAAATTACAATAACCCTCTATTTTATTTTCTTTTGATTCTTTCCAATTCATTTCAATCACTTTCCTATCCGCGTAAACCTTTTTTTTGAAAATTGCTTCGTTCTTTTCAAACCCAGTTTTCTGGTTCTGAAAAAAGATTTTTCGAAACAATTCAAGGCTTTTTTGCTTTTAAATTAATGGAATTTTTAACTTTTTTAAGTTGAACCAAAATCACTTTGAATAAATATGAATGTGATCTGACTCTAATAGCTGAATATAATTTATTTGACTCAGTGAAAGTGATAGTTTTAACTGTTTATGGAGAATTGATAGATTGAGTCACCATGAGTAACCCGAGAGCTCGATGAACTAGGTTGCTCTACTCCAACGCATTTTTCTGTGGCTACGGAACAAACTCAAAAAACCATATGGAAAAAGTTGACCTCTTCTCTAAATCTAGGGCCAAAAAAACAGAACATAAAAACATTAGGTTTGACACTGGAGTATTTAGATCTGATTTAAATTTGAAACGGGTTGACTTTTTTTATTTTAAATGTCTTCATTTGATTTTATGGTTTGTAAACAGTTGCTAAATCAGTTTTTTCTGCATTTGATGTGTTCTTAATTCAATTGCACTGCAAAACTAGAGCAAATCAACATTATACTAAAAATTTTTGAACAATGAAATTGATCTTGCAAACTTCAAAAAAACATGGTTTTTTCTGAAATACCATTTTTTTTTCTATAACAAAGTTTCAATTTTTTTTTACTTTTGAGAACCTTAACATTTTGGCTGAAAAGCAAGAAGTAGAGGTATCAACTGTTGATGGCAACATGTATTTT